ATATATACACACACACACACATATATACATATATATATCCATATATGAACTATTTTACATAGCTCATATATTTATATGTGGGAGGATTTCTATTTACCTTCACAACTGCTTGCAAATAAATGTAGAGTGCTGTTAAGTGAAAGATTCTACTGGGAATTTTGGTGGGGAGGCCTGGGGTTTAGTGTAAAAGTATCTACAGGATTCCACAGCACCCAGTTTGGAAACCACTGATGGAGTTCCCCTTTCATTTCTGGATGGAGGAAGGGACCAGACAAGAAAAGGGGCTTGCCCAAGGCCACTTAGCTTATAAGGGCAAAGTCCACACAAGGACCAGTCTCTTGACTCTATGGACGGCCCTCTCCGAGGTCAGGTTTGGCCATCCTGAAGCCAGTGGGTGCACTGGGAGCTCACGAGTCCAAGAAAACCAGTTCCATTCCAGCCCTTACATCAAACAGATACGGCACCAGACGGCAGACAACCTCCACCTGATGAGGACGCAGCCCCACTTCCTCCTGGGCCTCCCGGAGGGCCGTGGCCACATCATCCGCATCCGTGGTTTCGCACTTTCCTCCAGGGAAGCAGACTTCTCCAGGCGACCGTCTCAGCTGGACAGTGAGAAACAGAGCAGCACAGGGTGAGTCCAATGTGGGAACCACTCACTCACTCACTCACTCACTCACTCAACAAGCACTTCCTGACCTCTCTGCTGTACTACAGACCATTCTTACAATGGTGGTCATATGTAAAGAACAACAGCACAAAACATGTTTTACTTGAATCTTTTTATAAAAATGAGCTTTGAAAACTGCTCTCACTTCTGACTTTTCTCTATTTGCCCCTCCCCCCCCCCAAAAAAAATACCATTCACACACAAACAGATTTACCTTGGGTGGGGGAGGGAGGCTGAAAGAAAGGATAAAGAAAAGGGTGATGCTACCAATAGATAACTTTTACTGAGTGCTTACTATGTTGCTTCACAGGGACTTTTTTTCACTAAGTCATCAGAACAGTTTTATAAGCTGTTTTTTAAAAGTTTTTTTTTAAATGAGGTGAAATTCATAACATATAATTAAACTAAACAATCAGTGACATTTAAAACATTCACAGCGTTACACAACTCCTACCACCATCCAGTTCCGGAACATTCTCATCACCCCAGAGGGAGACTGTACCCACCAAGCAGTGGAATCCCACTTGCCTCACCTCCCTGCCCTTACTTCCTGTCCCTATGGATTCACCTTCTTGCATATTCCCTGTAAATGGAATCATATGATATGTGTGACCTTTGGCATCTGCTTTTTTTGCTTAGCGTCATGTTTCTGAAGTTCTTCCACATTGTACCATGTATCAGTACCTTTTTCCTTTTTATGGCTGTATAGTTTCCCACTGTATGTATATATTGTAATTTGTTTATCTTTCCATTAATGGACATATAGGCTACTATAATATTATTATTTCCACTTTTAAAAAAATACTTTTTAAAATTGATTTCAGAGAGGGAGAAGGAGAGAGACAGAAACATCAATGATGAGAATCATTGATTGGCTGCCTCCTGCACGCCCCCTACTGGGATCGAGCCTGCAACTCAGGCATATGCCTTGATTGGGAATCAAACTGTGACCTCCTGGTTCATAGGTTGACGCTCAAACCACTGAGCCACTACGCTGGAAATTATTTCCACTGTTAGATAAGGGAACTAAAGTTCAAAGAGGTTAAATAATCTGACCAGTTTCACATAGGGTGAGTAGTGGAGCTGGAACGTAAACCAGGATTTAGTTCTAGAGCCATGCCCTTAAGCAGCACACCGTACATTTATTAAGACATGACACAGAACATACAGTCATCAGCACTGACCTGTGTCACTGCCCCCTACCTCTGCACAGACTAAAGGAACAGGAGCCTCTTTCCCTGCAAAGCCCCTTCCACATATATCCTTGATCCCATGCCTCCCTGACTTCAGGAGAACCGTTTGTGTCTCCATTTGTAGCATCCCGAATAATTCCCCCCTTTTAAAAATCTCTGTCTTTAAAATGATTTCTCTCCTATCCTGGGCTAGAGGAGCACAACCACCTCACCCCCCTCGGCCCCCCGCTTCTCTCCTCTGCAGGACCAAACTTCTAAGCAAACGTGATCTCAATTTGTTTCACACTCACTCCCACCAGTGCCCACCATCCTTTCTCTCCTGAACTTTCCAGGGGACCTCAAGGTCAGCAGGGGTCCTGGGTCTGCGTCTTCTCAACAGCGTGCAATGCGGGTAATGTCTGTCCTCAGGGAGTCGGTCACATGAGCTGATGGCTGAAGTGCCTGGCACAGCGCCTGGCCCATGTTAAATATTTATTAATGAGAACTCGTAAGGACAATTCTTGACGTTTAGTAGCTAAATCAAAAGGTCATGCAGGCATTTTTAGCACTGGGGCCAATATATCCACGTAAGCTGCCATTATAAATTTTGTCATGTTCTACAGTTTAAAGTCCCATTTGGGCAAGCTTCTTGAAAATGAAAGAAAGCATTTTAAAGTTCCTCTCTGTTAATAAATCAGTAACAAAAATACATTTTAAAAATCATGAACAGTGCAGGAATTGCTACAATACACAGAAACCTCACACGTCTTCACATCAATTGTAGACAAAAGTGTAGGTGAAAACCAGGTTGATGGACATGTCTCTACTGTCCATTCACCATCCAAATGCGTAAGAGACAGACCTAATGCTACATCACCTCTGAAAGCTTACTCCATAGTGTTAGCTCATTCAGCAGTGAGGGACCACTGACACACTGACATTGGCACCTGCAGGGACCTACAGGCCTGATTTAATGACTATTTTAAATACTCGTAAGAAAATGTCATGCTGTTTTAAAGAAAATACATTCATAAAAATGATGATTCACAAACTGTCAGATCAGAAAGGGCCTTATCTAACTACATAAGTTTTTTCTTTCTTTTTTTTGTAAAAAGCATAATATTTTTATTAAATAAAACCTTATGAAATTCTACTCAAAAGCCAAATAAGGTTCCAGCCTAATTTCCTTAGACTTTCATCTATGTTTTTTTCTTGAATTTCCTCTTGCCTGTTTCAAGCCCTAGAGAGCTAGGAGCAGAGAGAGGAGAGGGAAGAGAGAGGAAAGAGGAGAGGAGAGGAAAGGGGAGACAATGACAGGGGAGAAAGAGGAGAAGGAAGAGGGAGGCGCATGAGGAGTGCCATATCCTTACCCTCATGACATTAGGCACTGTCTTCAGTCCCATTTTAGGAAGAAAACGGAGGCTCATAGAGAAAAACTTTGCTCCAGGTTCCAGAGCTAGCAGGAGAGCCCGCACTTGAGCAGGAAGGACTGATGACATGCGCCTCCTTCCCCATCTACCCGGATCAGCTTTCGTGACTCCAGGGAGGAGGCAAGCTCAGGTAATGCCTGAGGGAATTTCTTGCCCTCACAGCCAGAGAGGCTTAGAGTCTGATTTAATTAGCTTTAAATACTTTTTTTTTAATATGACCTTTGCATTTCAGAGTTCATGGTCTAAAATGATTCTCACTTAATAGTCAATAGATTTGCAAAGGTACTCTAGGTGAAACAGAGGTCAGAGACCCGTTTTGGTCTTGTCTAGATTTTCTACATGATTGTTCAACTGATAATTAAAAAAGCATGTTTCTGCTGTATCTTCTGGCAGAGCTGGGAACAGACCTGGTCCCCTGATTCCGCGTTAAGTATCTCCCCCTTGGAAACTTGATTGTCATCATCTGACCCAGACAGGAAAGAATCCACACAAGTCTAATACCAAATCCAGGAAACTTCAGCTGATATTTCAGCTTGCTTTTTCCCCTATGGGGATACTTTTGGTTATTCTGCTTAGAAAGACACTTTATTGTGGCCCATTTTCTTTTTTGTACTTGGACAATTTGAAATTACTGCTTCCCAACTTTTCCTCGGAAGTACCGCTAACAGCAAGAGACAGTGACCATACCCAGGTGTGTACCCAGGGGATCTCCATTCCCAGCCCAATATTTTTTTTTAAGTTGAACAGTTATCTTAAAAACCTCAAGCCATGTCTGCTAATGGTGCTAATGATGATGACATCTGAAACTTACCGAATCCTTGCCAAGTGCCGGCTTGTTTTAGAAGCTTTACATTTGTTACCCTGTGAAATTCTCACAGCGGCCCTATTAGACAGTTGTTAATATTTTGTCCTCATTTTGCAAGTGAGACTGCAGCACAGAGAGGAGAACTAAATAAGACAGTCACACAGCTGACAAGGAGAGAGCCTGCATTCAAACATGGGCAGCCAGCTTCAGGGCCCAGACTGAACTTCGGTGCTCCAGAACTTTCATGGTATACCTGGGGTGGGATTGGTCTAAAACAGTGGCAAACTGTCTCCCCCGGGCCCCACCCCATTCCTTCCAGGACAGGAGACAAACTCTAGAGACATTTGTGGTTATCAAAAAGTTGTGTGTGTGTGTGTGTGTGTGTGTGTGTGTGTGTGTGTGTGTGTTACTGGCATCTAGTAGGTAGGGAACAGGAATGATGCTAAACATACATCGCATAATGCACAGGGCAGCTTCCACAACAAGGAATTATCCAGCCCAAATGCCAATGGCACCAAGGTTAAGAAACCCAGGTCTAAAGGTATTCTAAAGTACTCATTTTTCTTTCCAAAAAATGTCACCCAAATGCCATGCTATCCTGTGGTCCCTCAAACATCACAATTCTGAAAGTCCATTTGGGAATCTCTGGCCTCAAAATGTGTGCAAGTGACAACATTTCCTGGGGATTTCAAATGTCCTGCTTTAATGGCAGAACCTCTTGTCACCTACCTTCTCTGACCGGAGGGTGAACAACAGATGAAGTTTTCCTTCTTTAGCCAACAATGGTAAAAGGATGGAATATTTACTAGACGACAAGTGAGAATATTTGGTCCCAACATCATGCTTTTTTAAGCGGGCCTTAGCATCTTCTATCAAACTGTTTCTAAAAGGGAAATAAACCAAACATTATAGTACCAGCGTTATAGTAAAAATCTCCTTGTCCTGCCTATGTTTCTGCTTTTCTGAGTATCTTGAGGTTTACCACATCTGAGTCTCGGTGTACTTTTCAATAACATGGCAGAAATAATAATAACAAAAATCACGTGATTTTTGGCAAGATAAAATGAGGCAAAAACCTACAGTTTCACTTTCCAATTAACCGCAATTCACCTTAGTCCAAAATATTAAATTAAAAATTCCAGAAATAAACAATTCATAAGTTTTCAATATGCGCTGTTCTGAGTAGGGTGATGAAATCTTGCACTGCCCAACTCCATCCCACCTGGAACATGAATCACTCCTTTATCCAGGTGTCCAGGCTGTCTATGCTACCTGCCCATTAGTCACTCAGTAGCCTTCTCGTGATCAGATGCAGTGCTTGTGTTCAAGTAACCCTTATATTACTTGACAATGGTCCCAAAGCACAAGAGTAATGATGCTGGCAATTCTGATATGCCAAAGAGAAGATGTAAAGTGCTTCCCATAAGGGAAAAGGTAAGTACAGTACAATAAGATATTTTGAGAGAGACCACACTTACATAATTTTTATTACAGTATATTGTTATAATCATTCTATTGTATCATTGTTGTTAATCTCTTACTCTGTGTAGGAAAAAGCATTATAATACATATATAT